GATGAACAAGCTAGCCATAAGTCCCAGTGGCATTGAAAGGAAGACTTCTAAGGGAAATGTTTGCCAGAAAACACATCATAATTTGGCAAAAATTTGCATTCTTCCTATTAAGTGTGGGGCACAGGGATCTCAGGCTGTTTGATTCTGACTCCAGGGTGGTGATTCCTGTGTGCCCTGCTGCCATTCTGGTCTCTGACAGTCGTCTCAGCACCAGGGTTCCAGCATCCCGCGGCATCAACAGTCTTCAGTCTCATGGCCTGTTACAAATTACATTCTGAAAATAGTGAGCTTGGATTTTATAATAGAATTTGAATGATGATTAAATCTAAAGTACTGAAGATAAGATTATTTCGCCCCAAATCCGTTTGCTCACCAAGTGATGCCTGAACCTGGTCTTTAGCAGACACTGCCCCAGATACTAGAGAGATGGTGTGAGGGAAGAGCTGACACCTGCTGTCCTGGAACTTGATGTATAGTCCGGAAGGGAGTTTCTTGTTCATTTTCCATAGAAAATCTGTCTTGTTAAAAAAAAAAAGTTAATTTTAGTTTTTTAACAAGAGTCTTGAGCGAGAAGTAGTCGAGACTAAGCAGGTTATTCAAAGCAATGCGATCTGAGTTGGGGCAGAAGCTGAACTGCAGCTTGCAGTTTTATAGTTCACCTGTGGGTTAGATGAGGATGTTCAACCACAGGCTGATAATAGAGATAACCAACTCGTTAATAAATTGATTCTTGGGTGGGAACCAGATCTGTCCCCTCAAGCATAGCTGTGATTTGTCCTGCAGGCCAAGCGAGCCTACATCTCCTCCTTCCCCTGCTAGCAGAAGTCTGGCCTTGGTAACGGCACAGTGGAGAGCAGGCTGGTGGGGAGCTGGGCGAGAAGATGCTGCCCAGGTGAGTGGTGTACTTGTCAGTGAAGAAAGTGCCTTTTTAGTGTCCTGTGACGTTGCCCACGGCCTGGCAGTGTGGCAGCCTCTTCGGCGCCTGTGCGGAGGGGCTGCAGCCCCCCGCTTCACAGATGAGGCCTTTCCTGTGCCAGTGTGCTTGACCTTGTGTGTCGCGGCAGAACCGGTGAGCCCAAGTCCCAGGAATTCTTGCTTTGTTTTCTTTGCACACGTTGTTTGTTGTTTTTCATCTGAAACTATACCAGATTCCTTGGGTTGAGTCCAACATGTACCTTTGGATGGTACACTTGAGCTGGCTCTTCTATTAAGAGTAAAACATTGGTGGGTGTGGCGGCCAGAAGCCTAGTGCCAGAACGACACTTGCCATGAGTGTGTTTGTGAAAGGTAGTGAGGGCAGGGTCTGCAGGCAGCTGCTCACACCTTGTACCAAGCAGTCAGCTGACTGGATTAGCTCATCTCACATGAACTTCGCGTTGCCTACGGTTGTATAGTTGACCCGAGAGGAGGAGTTTTGAGTTTGCCACTAAGTTTATTTTCCAAGAACTTCCAAGTAATTTTCAAGTAACTTGATTTCTTTCATGAATTGTGCTTGCATATTGCCTCTAGACTAGGGTTCCCAGACGGCTGTCCGATGGCTGTGTTTAAGATTTTTCTCTTCACTGGTGGTCTTCAGCAGTTTGTGTACGATGCGCAGAATACAGGCCTGCTTACAGCTCACTGATCTGTTGCACCCATGAACCAGTTTTTGTTGAGTATTTCCGAGGTTTTTATGCCTGGCCCTGCTCTGCGGGCTGGCTTCGGGCTCTGGCGAGGGCACGTTGTGCGCGTGCAGTGCGTGCTGTCTGCAGGGCCGCTCGGCTCTCCCTCTCCGAGGCGGACTCATTTCGGGTGATTTCTATTGCTGCTGCCTTTGGGTTCACGCGTCCTTTCTGCCGTGTCCGCACTGCCGTAATTCCAACCATTGCTTTTCGTGTTGGCTAGAGTTTCCATCTCCTGAGTTCGACTTCAGTCGTTTCTGGTCTGAGTCTATTGGGTTTCTGCTGTTTGGGGACCTCTTTTCCTGTTTCTTCCTTAGTTTTTGTTAGGAAGGTAGACATTGTGAATTTTAATTGAGCGTTGGACTTTTTTTATTTCTCTTTTTTAAAGAGTTGATTTATTTTTATTAGAAAGTCACATATACAGAGAGGAGAGACAGAGAGGAAGATCTTCCATCTGTTGATTGACTCCCCAAGTGGCTGCAACAGCCAGATGCATTAATCTGAAGCCAGGAGCCAGGGGCCTCTTCTGGGTCTCCCACATAGGTGCAGGATCCCAAGGCTTTGGGCCTCCTTGACTGCTTTCCCAGGTCACAAGCAGGGAGCTGGATGGGAAGCGGAGCTGCCAGGATTAGAACCGACGCCCATACGGGATCCCGGCATGTTTGTGGTGAGGACTTTAGCCGCTAGGCTACTGCGCTGGGCCCTTCTATTTCTTTTGAGTAATGTTGGACTTCATTCTGACATGTAATTAAGTTACTAAGTTACTTGGATGGAATGTAAGCTAGTAACATTTCCAGTAAGTGTGAATGCCATCTTGATTGTTCCATAAAACCCAAGGAAGCATTTAAGCACATAGCTTCACCTTGTGTAATGCCTGTCCTAGGATTCATTTTAATCATGGGTTGTTGGGGCTGGAAGCTCCACATCAGATTTTCCCAGCTCATTTTCTTATTATGCATAACAAATAGCAGAATCCAGAGGAAATGGATTATTTTGTCCCACTAGAATACATTGTTTATGACGGTGTTCGTCTCCACTTCATTCCTTAACGTTTGCTGTTAGAGTAATTGAATGACTCAGAAACACTTGGCAGTGCCTTGCTGTCCAATGGTGCCCTGCGAAGGTGGAGACAGGCGGCTGCTTTTTGGTAACAGATGCAGGTTTGAAGACGAGTGACCGTCAGCTTCTGTGGAATTACTATTACCACTGTCCTTTGACTTCTGTTTGCAGAGAAATGAATTTTTCCGTGTGTGCAGAAATAATTTGTCCACAGTTGGAGGATAGCACACAAGTAGTTAATCTTCTGTTTCCTTAAATGAAGACTCTCACAGGAGTTGGCCTCCTTGCTTCATGTGCTTCCTGGGCTCTCCAGGAGTCGAAGGCACAGCGCTCACCTCTGACATGCGGGTCACATGGCTTACGTATGTACTTACTTTAAACGTTAACTGCTTGGCTCGCCTCAGGTCAGGGGCCACGCCATTCGAGTCATTCATGGTTGATGTTGGAGGCCCTCTCACCCTCATTTTGCGTGATGTGAATTCATTGATCCATGGCATGCTGCTGGGTCCTGGCAAGACAGATCATTTTGCATTTAGCATAGCCCTTTATTTCTTTATTTGTCAAATAGAAGAGATCTTCACAACTAGCTCTGGTGAAATGTTTTGGAATGTGGACCTTACAACTTGTAGCTGAGTGTCGTCTTTAGAGTCTTAGGAAGATTCTGTGGGTCCAGGAGGTGTGGCCTGGCTTTAGCTCTCAGATTCACGTCCCCAGAGCTCGGAGTTTGTTGTTCCCTGTCTAATTCTGTCCCGATGAGCCTGTTGACTGGCTGTCCCAACATTGGTGCTGAGGTTTTCTGGTGGTTACCATGGCAGTGTATGAAGTGTGCACTTGTGGAAAAGCACTGGCTGTGGGTGCCCACTGTGCTGGGCGCCCCCTGGAGACAGAAAAGTGAGGTGCTGCAGGCTTTCCTCACCCTGCACTGTTGGTGGGGAAGTACCTAGGAACACAAACGTTGCTGTGACATGTCTGGGAGAATTCAGAAGACGCTGGGAGTGCCCAGGCGGCTGCAGTCCTGCCCGCCCGTCCCCTCAGGACACTTGTTCCAGTAGGCAGCAGCAGCGTTCTCCTGCTAGGTGGCGATTGGGCAAGGGACCGCCCCCGCCAGCCTGTGTCTTTAGCAGTGTCACTCTCAGTGGACCTCCTCTTAGTCCAGCACATTGTTAGCTCTCAGTTAGGCACATTGTTTAGCTCTGAAGGTCAGGGCTGGGCCAAGCCAAAAACCAGGAGGCAGGAATCTCGGGGGTGGGGGGGGTGGGGTTTCTCCCATAGGTGCAGGCGTCCAAGTACTTGGGCTGTCTTCTGCTGCTTTCCCATACACATGTAGGCAGCTGGATGGAGTGGGCCAGAGGCAGATGGGTTCTCTGATAAGGGATCCAGCGTTGCAGGTGGGGGCTTAGTGTGCTGCGCCCAAACAACTGTACCCGTGTGTTTTATTTCAGGGATTTTTTCCCTTGTGATTTTAAAGTCATTTTGATTTTATACCAAGATGTAAATTTCCAGGAATAAAGCTAGTTGCATGTAGTAGTGTTTGTTAGGATTGTAAAACTATGTGTATTTTATAAAGAATATTCAGAATGGGGAAGATTTGTGATTGTCCCTGTGTAGGAAAGATTTGAAACTGGCTCTTCATTCACTGCTGTAGAACTGCAGCTGTCTTGGTTTGTATCAGGTTTTATTTTAGCTTTTCAAAAGCAGAACTTTGTCAGAATGGTGATGCTGATCAAGGTGCTAGCAGGGAAGTAGAGAATTGGCCAGCAGCGTTTTCCTGGGCCGGTTCCTGAGAAGCTGGGTTTGAAGGTGCAGAGAAACGAGTTCCTTTTCTAAGTTCCTTGTTGGGACAGCAGGGGCACGCTTGTACAGTCTGCATTGTGTTGTCATCAGAGAACCTGGAGCTGCCTTCCCCTTCTCCCTAGCCCTGCAAGCTGCGCTCTGGTCCAGGGGAGGGTCAGCCTGCTGCTCTGCCCTGGAGAAAAGTCCAGGCAGGCCTGAGCTTGCTCACTCGCTAGTTAGCTGGTCAGTCGCTGGCTCACAAGTCTGTTTACAGTCCTGCCTGATGTTATCTAGTCCTTGGCTGTTTGTTTCCTTGATCTTTTAGACATCATTTCTGTTAGAGGAGTCCTACAGACCCGAGGCGCAGCATCCGGCAGCTGCACTTGGCCCTCCCTGTGGCTCCTGCGGCGAGCACACCCCAAGTGGGACATGGGAGTGTGTAGGAGCTCCAAGTGGTTTGTTGGACGTGTCTTCCTGAACACCCACTCTTCTTACTGTTTCCTTCAGGCAGGAGTGTGCTTCGGGAGACTTCCCTTGCAGGAGTCCTGACTCGGATGCAGAGGACTCGTCCGATGAAACAAATACGGAACATCTGTATAGCGCCTCTCCCCCCAGCACGCCTCGCCAGATGAAGCGCATGTCGGCCAAGCACCAGAGGAACAGCGCAGGGAAGCCGGCCAGTCGGTGCAGTCTGAAAGGTGAGTCGGGAATATGGAAAAGACGCGCAGGAGAGGCAGTAGCCCTCTTAGTAGGTAGTCTTTTAAGTGGCGGATAACTGCTCATGAATCTCTCTCTCGTTAAGGTTGGTTGGTTTGGAAGACGGAGTTAGAGAGAGAGACAGGTTTTCTCCATCTGCTGGCTCACTCTGCTGGGACTCCATCCGGGCCTCCCCTGTGGGTGCCAGCCCTGGAGCCATCTTGTACTGCTTCCTTAGGCGCATCAGGAGGGAACTTGGCAGAAGAAGCCAGGTGTATGCCAGAGGAATGCCAGCGTCCCAATCCCAGAGGCTGCAGGGGGTGTGCAGTGGGTGGCGCAGGCACTCCCCACCTCCTCAGCCGGGGCTGCTCCTTTTGTCCGGAGGCTTGGGGCTTTGGCAAGCCCAGAACCTGACTTTGTTACTCAGAGCTCCCTGGTCGCCTGAGACCACTGCCACTAGATTGTACCCGCAGACTGGGGTCCTGAGCCCAGCCTGTGCCCTGTTCCTCACAGCTGAGTGGATCTGTCTGTCCCTTTTGCTTTGCGCTGCCTGCTGGTGGCCACGGCTGCTGCTCTGTGATGGAGAGGAGTTTCTGCCTCCCTTGTGTCTCACCAGCTGCGTGCTGGTACCCAGGCCTGGTGGTGCTGGCCTAAGGCTCGCTCCAGTCTCTGATTACTTGGTTTGGGCTTAGCTCCTCTCTGGTCAGTTTCCTCTCCTTGTGGGGTCTTCAGATGAGAAGTTCATGGAAAGTGGATATTATGAAAGAAAGTACAGACTGGTTTCAGAAGTTTCCTGTGCTAAAAGTCACTCCCATTTTCTCCTGAACACTTTGAAGTGTTGTTGTTGTCTGCGTTCCCTTCAGAGCCTTGTCTTGAAGGCCAAGGGCGGGAGGGAGCAGCGGGCTTCCCTGCCCTGTTGGCTTGAGTGAACTCCTTCCTGAGGCAGCTGGCAGGAGCGTCTTTTCCACTCAGGATTTTTCCACAGAAAGTGATATTTTAGCTTTCCTCTAAAACCTTATTTGCAGGGCCCGGCGCGGTGGCGCAAGTGGTTAAGTCCTCGCCTAGCACGCCCGGGATCCCATATGGGCGCCGGTTCTAATCCCGGCAGCCCCGCTTCCCTTCCAGCTCCCTGCCTGTGGCCTGGGAAAGCAGTCGAGGACGGCCCAAAGCTTTGGGAACCTGCACCCGCGCGGGAGACCCGGAAGAGGCTCCTGGCTTCGGATCGGCATAGTATCGACCCGTTGCGGCTCACTTGGGGAGTGAATCATCGGACGGAAGATCTTCCTCTCTGTCTCTCCTCTCTGTATATCCGCCTTTCCAATAAAAAATAATAAAAATAAATCTTTAAAAAAAAAAAAAAAAAAAAAAAACCTTATTTGCAGCAGATTGTTCCCCTATGGCCTGTGCTTATCACTTTGGAAACTCCTAGCTTTGGATTGTAATTTGTGAGCCTCAAAGCCAGTCCTGTGTGTTTCTCTTAGATGCTTGCTGCAGTCGGTTCTCTGGCCTGGCGGATTGCTGTTGGTCAGTGCCGGCTGGCTCAGGGCCGCCCCGGGGGAGATGCTCATGACACCCTGCTCACGTGCGCTTTCGTCCTGTTTCAGGACAGCGGCACCAGCTTCCTCCACTTTGGAGGCCCGCGTTTTGAGCAACATATTGAAGTCTGAAGGCCGGCGGTTGCACTAGGAATGTGTTCGCTGTCAAGCAGTTCTCATGAAGTGTGGTTTGGACTTTTTCCTGGTCCTTCGGGCAGGGGTGAAGCTGGCCTGCAGGTGTCCCTTGGGTCTTAAAGAGTCACACAGCCAGTCCAGAGCTGTTGGAGCTCCCGTGCTCCTTCAGGGGCTTTGACCGAGGGAACAGGCAAGTTTGTCCCTTCTCTTCCACAGCTTCTTTTGGTTGTTTATTTTATAGCGTTATAAGCTCCCAGAGCTCTGAGAGCTGTCAGCCACCACTTCCCCGCGCCCGCCCCGAGACGGGAGCCTTGTGTGTCACAGCCGTCGGGCACACCAGACCCAGGGCTCTGTCGTCCTCCCTCATTTCTTTTCATGTTGCAAAATATTGCGTTTTTTACTGCAGAAAATTTAGAAAAGATATAAGCATCACCGTGAACCCTCACATGAACTCTTACCCTACGGTCTCTGTGTGTTTATGTAGATACATTCTGTTTACTGTTTTGTAACCAGTTCCCTTTTCACTTAATGTTTTATAAACTTTTTAAAAGACTTATTTATTTTTTATTGGAAAGGCAGATTTACAGAGAGATAGAGAGGAAGATCTTCCATCCGCTGGTTTACTCCCCAAGTAGTTGCAGTGGCCGGAGCTGAGCTGAACCAAAGCCAGGAGCCAGGAGCTCTTCCCGGTCTCCCATGCAGGTGCAGGGTCCCAAGGGTTTGGGCCGTCCTCAACTGCTTCCGCAGACCACAAGCAGGGAACTGGATGGGAAACAGGACCACTGGGATTAGAACCAGCACCCATATGGGATCCCGGCACATGCAAGGCGAGGACTTTAACCACTGCACTATTGCACCAGGCCCACTATAGTTCTTTATAGACAGTCAAAATACCCTGTGTTTCTAATTTTAAAAACATTTTTATTCTCTAAGTAAACAGCGTGCCCCCATCCAGTGGTTCACTCAGACACCTGTAACTCTTGGGACTGGGCCAGCGTGGGTTGGGAGTTGGTAGCTCAGTCCAGCTCTTGCAGTCAGCTGAGCCATGACAGCTGCCTCTGACTGTGCGTTAGTGGGTGCTGTGATAGGGAGCCAAGTGGGGCCTTGACTGCAGGGACGGCCACCCCGTGCCCCGTTTCAGCGGCTGTCGTATCACGTGTGGTGTTGTCTTCCCAGTGCCCCTGGGTAGTTGTGCTGAGTGCTGAGGCCTGGGCCTACTGCCTGACAGGGTCATCTTTGAATGTCCAGCTCCCGCAGTGAAACAGTGGCTCGACACGGGCTTCGTCTTACAGTCGAGGCGCCTGAGCGCGGGAGGTTGCTGAGTTTGTAGTTTTTAGGAGTTTTATGTCTCGTTTGTGCACATGTGAGGAATTGGCTTCATGTGTTGGTCACATGGTGAATTGTTTTTGTTGAGATTCTCGTTCATGAATAACAAGTAGAGTTGCAAATGACTGTGTTGATCAAATGCGCCATTTCAGCATCTTGGCGATGTTGGAATTGGTCACTGTGGACTCACCTTCACAGTGTGGCAGCACAAACCCACGTGCCAGATTGCCCGGATTCTGTGCCTGGTTCTCCCACCTTCTGTGTCTCCTTTTGTGGTCTGCCTTACTGAGCGGCACAGGATTATATATTCAGTGTTAGCTGCTGTTGTAGATTACTCAATGCTTCCTGCCTTTCTCTTGCCTGACTCTTACAGCAACGCTCCCTACATTCCTTTAGTCCTCGCCGACTGGCAAGCCTGTTTTCAGGACCCTGGCCTCTGGGTGACTGCCAGCCTGGTCCTGGGGCTCCGGCAGCCTTGCCTTTCCTCAGCTGCGCTGCCCCTGTAGTTGTCTGCTTTCTCTTGCCTGCTTCCCTTCCTTTCTCCTTCTCTCTCGTCTCTCTTTTTTCTTATTCCCTTTGTCCTCCCTCCCTCTGCTTTTCCCCAGTCACTCCTCTGTCCTGAGGTGTTGATGGGGGTGGCTCTCTGGTAGGGAGCCTGTGGGTGATAAGCAATCTCCCCACAATGCGGGGGAGGAGCTGGGAAGGCGTGGCTTAGGGAGGCTTCTGGAACAAATGGTGTTTGTGCTGTGACTTCAAGGCTGTCAGAAACCAAGATTTCCAATCAGTGTGTGATTTCTATTAATATATTTGGCCTTAAGTATTTTCAGGGGCTTTTCGGAATTAATTAGCTTGGTTGGACTTTTAAAAGTTTCCTAAGAGAATGTGAACTGGTAGGTGGCTTGTCACTTGAACAAGCAAATAAATTGTGCTTTCAGACTGCAGTCTGGTTTTGGGTCACCAGTAATTTTGTGCTTTTCTGGTTATCTGTTGCTGTGTAGCAAGCTACCTCAAACCCTTGTGGCATGAAGGCAGCTGTTGCATTGTTCCTGATTCTGTGGTTGAGGTGCTAGGTAGGGTGCAGATTGCATTGCCTGGGGTGTTTGCAGGCTTAGCTGGAGGGCCCCAGGGAGCTGGAGGACCTGTCCCATGTGGCTGCTGCTCCACCGGACGCCCAAGATGGTCTCCTCATTCCCTTGTCTGTGCATGGCCGAGATGGAAGAAGGAGCAGCTTTATTTTCTTCTCCCGTTGCCTTGCACGTGGCCGACCTGGATTCTGCAGGTGTCCTGTGCTTGGGGAGCTGGGAGTATTTTGGGGCCATTGGCCTTCCTCAAAGCATACGGCCTCAGAGACCCAAGTGGAAGAGTCAAGATGTCTTAGGACTTGGCTTCAGGAGTCCCACAGCAGCCACTTGGCTGCATTCCTGAAGTTACCCAGGTCTGCCCGGAGTGCCATGGGAGGGGGTCTCGGGGGGCTGCAGCCCAGGAGGGACAGTCCTTTGGTGGGCATGGAGACAGGCTCCTGCATGTGCTGCCTGTCAGCTGTACTGTCTTTGCTCCCATCTCCTCCCCACATGGATGCGTGCAGGTCCAGGGCGTTCTGCAGGAATACAAGGACTTAGGAAGGACGCCAAGGACACTGTTCAAAAGGAGACGGCAACCAGCAGTGCTGTTTGAAGAGCTGATGGCTGTTGTGCTGAATGGGCTATCACCGGCTCAGAATAGCTGCAGATTTTTAAAAAATTAATTTATTTGAAAGGCGGAGTTGAAGGATAGGGAATTAAGAGAGAAAGAGATCTCTGTCCATTAGTTCACTCTCCAGATGACCTCTGTGGCTGTTGAACTCCGAACTCTGTCTACGTCTTCCACAAGGCTGCCAGGGCCCAGGCGCTGGGGCTGTCTGCTGCTGCTTTCCCAGCTGTGTTAGCAGGGAGCTGGGTCGGAAGCAGAGCAGCTGGCACTTGAATTGGTGTTGATGGGATGCTGGTGTTGCACATATGCCACAGCAC